TGCAGAAACCGTTGCGTTTGTCGTATGCATTCACTTCCAACATTTTACTTTTTTTTTTTTTTTAGAAAAAACATGTGAATCAAATTAATACCTTAATATCAAACATTATGTACAACACATTTTGATCATAACATTTAATGCGGTATCCATAATAACATATAACAATGATGTTGAATAATAATAATTAATAATTAATCATAATCAATGTTTTATGAAGTGTCTATTTTTTTTTCTTGTCCTCCAGAAAGGTACAAAAAACAAGTAGTATTCTAACACTATAATGTTATGTTTTTGACTACTTCAGGATACACAGTATCCATTTAATGCGCTGATTCTTGTTTCCCAGTTCAAAGTGTGTACAAAGCATGGTATTAATGGTAATAATTGGAGTACAAATGATACAAATACTACTGAAGCTGATTTTCAAAAGTTTCTTTCATAGTTTCTAGTGTAAAACCATGAAACGGAGCACATATGGTGTGTTTCCTCTAGTCCCGATGTCGCGAAGCCGAGCTGCTGAAATCGCATCGTTACTGTTCAGACAAAAACAAACACGAAACGCAGTTGATCTCCAAGAGCGTGGCAGGACTAGCAGAGCCAAACAGCCCTATCGAGAAGCACAAAGGCAGAAACCATGATCCAATTTGCGACTGTTTGAAAAGTCCACAGTTTTGTTTATTGTCAGGAATGCGTATATTCTCTGACTGGGTCAAAAAGCCCCGGAGAAACGAGACCCTCCGTCTGTTTCAATCTCCAGCCTCACAACGCGTCTTCAACTCAAACACTGACGGAGGGAGAGACCAGGCAAACAAGTTTAACGTCTATTTGGGTGAATCTCACAAAAAACATGTCCGGATCACATTTGACCAGATCACAAAATTACATTTTTCATAAAGAAATTGAAGCCTGTTGGAGAGGACCGTTCAAATTGCATGTCTCGATTAACTACATTGAACTAACAATGAGCAATTAATGCGAATCGTTTGTATTCCTCATTTTTAAGTCGCTTTGGATAAAAGCGTCTGCTAATGAAACGCTTTCCAATAAGGTTTCATTTGGTGACATTAGTTAACATGAACTGACAATACTTAAGCATATATTAATCTTAGTTCATGTTAATTTCAACATAAATGCTGGGTTGTTTCAACCCAAATTTGGGTCAAATATGGACAAACCCAACAGTTGGGTTAAAAATTGAATTAAAAAAATTTAACCCAATGGTTGGGTTTGTCCATATTTGACCCAAATTTGGGTTGAAACAACCATTTATGGTTAAATAATTTTAATTACTAATTTCATTTTTTAAATTGTAATAATAATAATAATAATAATAAAAAAATTATCCTGCTAAAGTAAGCATTTAGAAAATGTTTCTTGAACAGCAAATCATCATATTAGAATGATCTCTGAAGGATCATGTGACACTGAGCATTACTATTAAAAAAGCATTTCTTTAGCTGTCAACGGAAATGTGGTTTTTATTTTACTTACTGCCAATTTAACGAGTTTTAACGTGTTTCCTTTTATATGTGTTATGCATAACTTGTTTCCTTGTTTGTTTCAATTCCATTAGGCCCTATAGAAAACTGCACTCTAAAAATGCTGGGTTGTTTTAACCCAACTTTGGGTCAAATATGAACAAACCCGTTCAATTTTTAAATTAAATGTTTTTTTTTTACATTTATTAAATTTTCTACATTGGCACAAAGAAAAAACTCCTTTGCAGATACAGTGTGCAGTAATATTATTACATAATGTAAACAATTTATATTTTAACACAAGTAATGATATAGGAAAGAAATAAAAAATAATTAATAAACTACGTGCTAAGAGTGTGACAACTCCTCCAAGCACAATACGCTGTTTATTCGACAGCTCTGACACCAAATATAGCCATAACTGGGTCTGGGTCTAGTGGTTTAAATGACATTTTTAACCCAACGTTTGGGTTTGTCCATATTTGACCCAAAATTGGGTTAAAACAACCCAGCATTGATTAGAGTGTACACTTTGTTAAGATCAAGTTGTATCTGTGAAGATTATTTAATGATTCTTATCTATCTCATCTATCATGATGAATCAGTCATGACATCTAAATAGAGAGCCTAAGCCCCTTTACCATGGGACCTTATTTCGGAAAAATATTGTATGGTAGTCAATGGCGAGAGACAACAAATATTTTGATCTCGTTTGAATTGTGCCCTGAATCACACATATGATGTTTGTCAATTTAAAAGATACATTTTAAAGTCAAGAAAGTCGCAGTTTGATGTGAAACTGTTGAGGTATAAGACTGTGAAAATACGTAAAGACTACAAACCCCAAAGGTGCACATTTTCTCTCAATGAATGAAGCTAACTTTACTGAAGCTAACTTTACTGAAGCTAACGTTACTGAAGCTAACTTTACTGAAGCTAACTTTACTGAAGCTAGCGTTACTGAATCTAACGTTACTGAATCTAACTTTACTGAAGCTAACTTTACTGAAGCTAACTTTACTGAAGCTAACTTTACTGAAGCTAACTTTACTGAAGCTAACTTTACTGAAGCTAGCGTTACTGAAGCTAACTTTACTGAAGCTTACTTTACTGAAGCTAACTTTACTGAAGCTAACTTTACTGATGCTAACTTTACTGAAGCGCTAACTTTACTGAAGCTGACTTTACTGAAGCTAACTTTACTGAAGCTACTTTACTGAAGCTAACGTCTGTCATTGTTTCTATAGTCTTGCGTTATAATCGTAACGTTACGCCGTCATCGAGTGTTTTGTACCAGACTGCACACACACCAGCAGCGGATCTCGCTCGTTGTTTCGCTTCCCGGGAGATGTAGTTCATTGAGCGATTTTCACATGAAACTAAATGTTACTCTTCTGTTTTATGACAAACTGCGACTTTCTTGACTTTCAGAATTATCTTTTAAATTGACAAACATCATATGTGTAATTCAGGGCACAGTTCAGACGGAATAAAAAGATTAGTTGTCTCTCGCCATTGACTACCATACATATTTTTTTTCCGAGGGGAGGGGCTTAGGCTCTCTATCCTTCACCAGTTAAGCTGAAGTGTGTGATTTTTGCACCACTGGTGTCACCAAACGGGAAGAGCAGATGAAGGTTTTAAAAGTGTGGATTTTAAGGGAATTTTATAGATAAATAATGAAGATTAGGTCAGAGGTATGAAAGGTTTGTCGAGTGAAAACCAGCCATAGACAATAGAGTGCCATTGGGTGTTTAAAGGGCAATAAAATATTATATTTGATCTGCAATCTCTAAAAACTCACATGACATGGTCTTATAAAATGTTTCATAAAAATCATAGTTTTAGAGATAACATCCTCAGATTTGAAATGAAGCATTACCACACTTGTGGCTTCAGCTTTATTGTGTTTCTAAGTTGCTACACTACAGCCACATCATTTTTTTTCTTCATTTAAAATACAGGTGAAACTGGAAAAATTCGAATATGGTGCAAAAGTTCATTTATTTCAGTAATTCAACTTAAAAGGTGAAACTAATATATTATATAGACTCATTACATGCAAAGTGAGATATTTCAAGCCTTTATTTGTTATAATTTTGATGATTATGGCTTACAGATATGAAAACCTTTTCACAATATTCTAATTTTGAATTTAGCTGTAATCCATAATCATCAAAAATATAACAAATAAAGGCTTGAAATATCTCACTTTGCATGTAATGAGTCTATATAATATATTAGTTTCACCTTGTAAGTTGAATTACTTAAATAAATGAACTTTTGCACCATATTCGAATTTTTCGAGTTTCACCTGTATATAGTGTTAATATTTAAAATTTCTGCTTATACTATATAGAGTTTACAGTTCAAGACTCAGGCCGTTATTAATTCTCCATATTAATAACGGTCTGAGTAATTCTGAGTCTTGACCTGTAAACTCTCAAGTGTTGGCTTTCTAAATATATGTTGGTTATGTGTCTATTCAGAAGGACTTGCCAAAATATGGGTGTGGGAAAAGGGGTTAATATGTAAAATGAATATTTTTATTATATTTAATTTAAATGTAATTATAGTCACAATGCAAAAAAAAAAAAATCATTTTGTTTATGCAAAATGTAAATTCTTATTTGTGTCTTGATTCTGGGATGAAATATGAGTCGCTGGTGTTCTTGACAGTTTTCGAGAGATTCGCCCGTCGGTTCCTCCATCATATGTAAGGCTGTCGGAGGAGAATGCCCATGTTATAATGTCTTGCGTATGTCGCATCAGCATATTAAACGAGTCAGAATTGCACCGATTAACAGCTACAGAACAATGCATTAATGAAAAACAAAATCAAATAAAACTTCACTTTATTTCCCCCATCGAAATGCTGAATTTGAAGCACTTCCAGGAGATATTAGTATTGTGTGTACGGTATAAGGCCTATTTAAACAAACGTTTACTTTTCCCACTCATATGAACGGGGGAAAACATGTGGAGCCCCCTTCGATATTTGGTTCCTAATAGAGTCGGACACACAGTTATGACAAGAAAAGAATTTCCATGATCCGTCAATGTTGATATCTCATATCAATTGATAAAAGGTCATAGGAAAAATATAGATATTTATGTTGCAGTTAAGTTTATCTTACAAAATACAAAATCATTGTTTTAGTGGTGTGGTCTACTAAGATAAGTCCCTCAAATTGCTGTATAGAATCAATTCCAAATTCACACAAATCAGATTATTTAGACTAACACACTCATCTAGCATCTTCCTTCTATTGGGAAAGATCCATGCGGCGAGATGCATAACCGGCCGCTTCTTCCAATGAATTCTGCAATTTGTTAAGAGAAGGCAGACGAAGGACGAAAGGCAAGAAGTCTTTGTATATTTATCGCTAACAGCAGAGCCGGTGAACTCGGTTAAGGTTTGATGTTTATAAATGTGACACCTTCAACTCGAACGATTCTCACAGGGTGTTCGGCGTTTCTTAACACTTGCTCTAATTACCGACAAAATAAAACGCTCTCTGGATCTCAGACTCCGCCCCCTTCCTCCCAGCAGCCAATCCCCCGTAAGCGGCCGTCAAAGTTGATTGGTCGGTTGGTTAAACAGGTGATCTGCATTTCTTCTTAGCACGGCTAACCGACTTTTCCTAATAAAAGACAGCGAAAGACCACTTAAATATTTGGAAAACAAAAGAAAAGCAGAGCAGAAGTGTTCCTGGTGGATCTCCAAGCCCTCGGTCCGCTGTGTTGTGTTTCTGCAGGGCTGATTCAGGGTCAGGTGAGGGGCTATAAGGTGAGGAACACGGAGATGCACAGCACCAGGAGGGCCAGTAGGGGGCGTGATGTCTGGTGTCGCAGGCCTGAAGTCGACACGTCACTCCGGGACGGTTCGGCCTCGTGACTGGTGTCGTCTAGAAACGAGGAGATGGAGAACATTTGATCAACTCAGATGCTGCATGTCAGGGTTAGTGGAAAGAAACTATCCAGAAATGCACAATCAAGTGTTTATTTTATTGCACTTTATCTCTTTGTGTCTGTAGGTTTCAAATACAGTGCATATCTTTAAAAGCCATGGTCTCAAAATGAGTTTCTTTCTCAATTTTAGCAGCACTCGCATGGACCAAAACTGAACGTTTTTACAGATGTGTTTGTTCATATGGCATTCACCTGATTTTATACAACATTTCATTCCTATAAAACATGGTGATCAAAAGATAAATCAATAAAACTTTAACTCTAATAGGTCAACAAAATCAAACAAGAATTCTTTAACCAATGCTCAGAATTAACATTCTGGAAATCTATGCAAATTAGTGCATATTTAATTAGACCATGCATACTTTGCACATTTTAATATAACATTTCAGAAAACTTGCAATACAAAAATAATTGCAATTTTTTTAATGTTATCAATCAACTGGGGAAGTGTGGTAATATCTATTTTTATATGTATTTTAATTTTTTTTTTACCTTATTCACATGTGGTGTCTTGCCTTAACTTAAACCAAAACCATAAAAAAACATTTCCGTCATTAAAATAAAACGGACTTTCACTGAAATAAGATTAAATATAAATGCAACGGGCACTGGGCGTCAGAAAGATGTTAGACAGATGTCAAATTTTGATTGAAAATGGAAATCGGGATGATGTCAAGCCTCCATCATTGGATAGTCGTTGAACTCTTAACGCCACAACTCAAAACCAACAAAATGTCAGTGTAATGGTGTTATAAATTGAACACTGTGTGGACATTAGCATTATGACATTTAACAGACATTGGGTCTCATTCATGAATATACGAGTAAATATGAGAGTGATTTGCGCGTAAAGAGACCTTCCCGAAAACTCCTGATTCACAAATACTTCGTAAACGTCAGATGTGATAGTGAAATGTGTGTGTGTGTTAATGAATTCCAATCAGTCGTAAATGGGACGCGCGTGCACGCTCATTCTCAATTACCATAAATCCCGCCCATATATCCGACTGACAACTGTATATGGGCATCATATTATGACACCAAACGAAGGATTTCAACATGTCTTCTCAAAAGCGAATGAAAAAGAAAAATTTCTCAGATGCAGAAATCGAAGTTTTATTATCAGAAGTTCATTCAAAACACCACATTTTATTTTCAAGCGGAGGCTACACAGTGGCGTATCAGGTCCTAAAGAAAAGCCAGTTTGGCAGCATTACAGATGCAGTTACTGGAGTTTCATCTGCTAATCAAACAGTCCCAGGAGTAAAAAGACAAACCATATGTAATTACTATATATAATATTTTTTCAAAATGCTGTGTAAATATGTTAAAATGCAGCCTTAGTTATTAAAGAGCAAAACGTTCGGATGTTAAACTCACTATTTGCGCGTGGCTGGGAGCAGGTGTAGATTTCTTTCCTACCAACTAACATTTGGAAAATACGAACATTTGAATGAATCCGAAAATTTACGCCAGAACCACTTAACACACGATTTACACAAAAATTCGTTCTGCTCGTGTTTCATGAATGAGACCCATTGAGTTTTGTTTACCTTACTCATGACTAAATGTTGGTGTTTGACATCGAAATGATGTTAGCGTTTGGAAGACATTGAATTTTGGTTACTTATGACTACTTATGTGTGTTAGATATTGTCCTGACAGTGAATTTTGGTCTCCTGTTGTGAGATCCTATATTCAACCAAATAGCAACCTCTTACAACATAGGTGGAAAAATAAACTAAACTTATTGTATTCCAGATCATTGCCAAACAGAAAAAAACAACAACAAAAAAACAGAAAATAATAAAATTGAAGAAAAAAAAGGACAACAAAAATACTAAAACTTTCAAATTAAATAAAAAACATATAATATAAACATAAATTTCTACATATTAACACAAACTATAATAATATCTCAATGATGGTGCCATGCAGTCTGAACGTAACCCAGAATCTGCTTGTTGGAAGCCTCAGTAATAATGCAGGCAAGGCTGTTTGAGTCGGTGCATTTCTCCACGTTTACTGGTGTAGACACACAGACTGCGGTTATCATCAGTGAGCGTGATATGGCTTTGGAAAGCACATGGTCTCAGTGGAGTCTGAGGACGTCAGTGTGGAAACAGACAGGTGTGACGCTAAAAGAGACAGATAAATATGCTTGGGAGGACAGAGTAGTTTGCTGGCTCATTCAGGCGAACAGACAGACACCTTCAGCCTCTCAGTGGGAATCTGGACTAATAAATCAATGCCTCCACCATGACACTGTGTGTGTGTGTGTTTGTGTTTGCAAGGTGAAACGGCACGATAAAACAATACTGGGTTAATCTACACTGGTGTTAATTGATATAATGCATTTGAAAAGTTTTTGATTGGATACGCACTTTGTTTTCTGTGTTCAAAGTCTACAGACATTTCCATTAAAATTGTCGAGCATTTTCTGTATGTTTTATTTGCCCCCAAATTCTGTTTAATTTTTCCATATTCCATTTTAGTAGTTAATAATCAAAAAGGACGTCTAATCAATTTAATTGATAAAACTTCAACAATTTTAATAATTTATTCAAATTGTAACGATAATAGTCAGCTATGAACTATTTATTTTTTTAAGAAAGTCTGTGTTGTGTTTTAATAATTCTGTGTTTTATGATTTAATAAAAAAGGTGGTAGACAAATAAATGCATAAATCTTTAATCAATCTTTGAGTAATTGATTCAACAATTTAATCAATCTTTTAAAATGTAATCAAATGAAATCTAAACAATTCATTTCATTTTTGCGCGAACAAAGTGCAGCACGACCGAGGTTAAAAGTTGGAAACGTGGACATAGTCAAGTTAAACAACTTTTATTTTGATGCGTTGTTGTGAACATTCTGCCAGAGAATAAAAAATAAAAAGGGTAATTCATCTCAATTTATCTAGGGTTAGTTTTATCTCACAATTCTGACTTTTTTTCTCACAACTGCGAGTTTACACCTCGCAATTCAGATTTTTTTTTCTCAGAATTGCGTGATATAAAGTCGTAAGTGTGAGATATAAACTCGCAATTCAGACTTTTTCTCTCGCAATAGTGAGTTTTTATCTCGCCATTCTGACTTTATAACACGCAATTGGAACAAATAAAGTCAGAATTGCGAGATGTAAACTCGCAACTGTGAGATAAAAAGTCGCAATTGTCTTTTTAAATGTTTTATTCTGTGGCGGAAACAAGCTTCCATACCTTTGAGTGTGTGTGAGTATCTGACGGTAGTTTTCTCAAATGAAATGGTGAAAGTGCTTCAGTAAACTGCGCTTATCATTCACTTAACATCTAAACTAGACATATTAATTATAGAGTAGACTACTAGTCGTTTTACACTTTAATATTAAAGACACTAGTCCATATTGTGATTTATATGGAAGCTTGTTTCCGCCACAGAATGAAAAATTAAAAAGGTAATTGTGACTTTTTATCTCACAATTCTGACTTTTTTTCTCACAATTGCGAGTTTACATCTCGCAATTCTGACTTTATTTCTCAGAATTGCGAGATATAAAGTCAGAATTGCGTGATATAAAGTCAGAATTGCGTGTTGTAAAGTCAGAATTGCAAGATATAAAGTCAGAATTGATTGATATAAAGTCGCAATTGCGTGTTATAAAGTCAGAATTGCAAGATATAAAGTCAGAATTGATTGATATAAAGTCAGAATTGCGTGATATAAAGTTGCAATTGCGTGTTATAAAGTCAGAATTGCGTGATATAAAGTCAGAATTGATTGATATAAAGTCAGAATTGCGTGATATAAAGTTGCAATTGCGTGATATAAAGTCAGAATTGCGTGTTGTAAAGTCAGAATTGCAAGATATAAAGTCAGAATTGATTGATATAAAGTCGCAATTGCGTGTTATAAAGTCAGAATTGCAAGATATAAAGTCAGAATTGATTGATATAAAGTCAGAATTGCGTGATATAAAGTTGCAATTGCGTGTTATAAAGTCAGAATTGCGTGATATAAAGTTGCAATTGCGTGATATAAAGTCAGAATTGCGTGATATAAAGTCAGAATTCCATGTTATAAAGTCAGAATTGCGAGATGTAAACTCGCAATTGTGAGAAAAAGTCAGCGACTTTATATCTCGCAATTCTGACTTTATATCACGCAATTCTGACTTTATATCTCGCAATTGTGACTTTATTTCTCAGAATTGCGACTTTATATCTCGCAATTGCGACTTTATTTCTCAGAATTGCGAGATATAAAGTCAGAATTGCGTGATATAAAGTCAGAATTGCGTGATATAAAGTCAGAATTGCGTGTTATAAAGTCAGAATTGCGTGATATAAAGTCGCAATTGTGTGTTGTAAAGTCAGAATTGTGAGATATAAACTATTCTGAGGGGTAAAAAAGTTAGTCTTTTTTCCCCCTTAGAATTGGCCTGATAACTCGCAATTGCGAGTTTTATATCTCACAATTCTGAGAAAAGATGTCAGAATTTCGAGATATAAAGTCGCAATTATGTGTTATAAAGTCAGAATTGCGAGATGTAAACTCGCAATTGTGAGAAAAAAAGTCAGAATTGTGAGATAAAATGTCGCAATTCTGTCTTTTTTTCTCGCAATTGCGACTTTATTTCTCATAATTGCGACTTTATATCTCGCAATTCTGACTTTATTTCTCATAATTGCGACTTCATATCTCGCAATTGCGACTTTATTTCTCAGAATTGCGACTTTATATCTCGCAATTGCGACTTTATTTCTCAGAATTGCGACTTTATATCTCGGAATTGCGACTTTATTTCTCAGAATTGCGACTTTATATCTCGCATTTGCGACTTTATTTCTCAGAATTGCGACATTATATCTCGCAATTGCGACTTTATTTCTTAGAATTGCGACATATCTCGCAATTGCGACTTTATTTCTCACAATTCTGACTTCATATCTCGCAATTGTGAGATAAAAAGTCGCATTTAAAAAAAAAAAATTTATTCAGTGGCGGAAACAAGCTTCCATAGATTTAAGTTTACAGGCCTTATTTTGATTTTTTTTTCTTCAAATTTTGCCAAATTCGGAATTTAATTTTTATGACTGCATTTGGTCCAGTTGTGGACGTATTCACAATTAAACAGCTTGTAATTAAGCAATTAAACAGTCACTTCGTGTCACATCCGGCTGTTAAGAGTTTTATTTTATTCATTGATTTGACATGGACATTGCAATTAAACATAGTACAAAACAAGTCTGTAACTGATGCTATGCAAAAAGAGTTTATAGCTATTGCTAATTTTCAACTCCAGTCCACGGTTGGGCCTTTACACTACAACGTAAAGTGTATGCCGATAGTAAACTCTATGTTATTTTTCTATCTGTCTATTTCATCACATCTTGAATTTGAATGCAGACCCAATGTTTGATCATGTCACCATGAAAGTCATGGCTACCGTGACAGTAATGGCAATAAATATTACGAGGCGATAGTCGTGCATATGCTAGTAAGTGCCATGTGTTCGGATGTAATGGGTTTTATCAAGCAGAAGCCAAAGCAAGCTTGGCATCGTTCCATGTGACTCCTTAGAGAGCCAAACACTAATTTGGCACAAAAACATTGTGGATATCTGAGTTTTGTATCTTGATTCTCACCACAGCCAACATGCATGAATATACTGACGCATTGTGTAAATATAATTCATGCATTTCAGCTGGAAGGCATGATAGACACTGACTGACTGAAGCTTTTGTCTCACTGAAAGGTCACATGGCTAATTTCTGGTCACTTAATTGCATGTTCACATGGTGATGTTGACAGGCGGCCCTCAGCTATTACAAGAGAATGCATTATTAATACGATGTGTACCTCATGCATAAATAAATAAAGCAGTCTTTGTGGTTTGAAGTGTCAGAGAAGCCGCAGGCGCAACTCAAATCCTGAACGTAAAGGTACATTAAAGCAACAACACACACACATGCACAGAGTGATTAGAGGAATTAAAGGACAGAGACACAGACTGAACAAAGCCAAGGTGATTTCAAGCCATACTGACCTCTTGGTTCTAATGCATTGTCTACTTTGTCATCGACAAAAACGCGGTCATGAACGCCTATGGTTTTCTCGCAGCCATCTACAAAAACAGAAGAAATGAAAAAGATACTGTAAGCCAGTCATGTTAGTGATAAATCAGCAGCCCAACCCACCTGCCAATCAAAGGAGAGCCCGTGACATCACTCAGAAGCATTCACCCGCCATTAATGTCCATTAAAGTGTGAAAGAAGCTCTGACAGAATCATCCGTGTGTGTGTGTGTGTGTGTGTGAGTGTGTGTTTTATAATCAATGACACTTACTTGGTGGTCTCACAAACACTTTCAGCTTGAGACACGACCTTCTCCCGGTTTCTGTGATCATGGATG